GAGCGATCAGGTCTCCCCTCAGCCTCCTCTTCTCCAGGCTGAACACCCCCAGCTCCCTCAGCCGCTCCCCACCAGCCCTGTGCTCCAGACCCTGCCCCAGCTCCGCTGCCCTTCTCTGGATGTGCTCCAGCACCCCAATATCCTTCTTGGAGTGAGGGGCCCAAAACTGGGCACAGGATTCAAGGTGCATCAAGAGATCAGCATCGGTGGCGTGGAGATTTCTCTCCTGTTGCGATCTGCTCAAACCTTTCCCTCTGTTCATTGCAACATTCCCTTTTCTCCCCCAAAAGATGAGCTTTTGCTGGTGCGTTGCAGCAGGATGGATCCCAGCAAAGCACACAGTGCCATAACCTAAAATCAGGGAGGCTGTCCTCAAAACGGCCGTGCTCACCTCCAGCTCCGCACACGCTAATCGCCGATGGGCTGCAGGCTGGAAGAACATCAGGCAGCCGTCTGCATGGTGCAAACAGCCCGCGCTCGAGGGACAGGACTCCCCCGGCGTGGTGGGCAAACCCCGGCGTCTTACACAAATCACGGGATTTCCGCGTGAGAAAGTCCTCGGAGCCAGACAACGCAGCCAAGAAGGAGGTGGCGAACGGCTGCGCCGGGACCCGTATCGGTGCATTTTGGCACGCTCGGGTGTTGGGCTGGAGGATTCCTCAAGCCAGGGGAGACATCTGTGTTTCTTATTGATGGCCCCCAAGAGTGGGCTGAACAAAAATTGGGAGTTTAATGAAATTTTAAATATAATTTTTACGGCTCTTTTAATTTCTCATAAAGCAGCAGTTAAAAGACTTTAGAGATTATGGAACTGCTTATTTTATGATCTAAGTATTGTAAAAACAATCTGCCTCAACCACTGCTGGAACCGGTTACGTAGATGGGAAACACTTTTGTAGGAGCGAGAGCAGCCCCCTTTCTTTTTGCTTTTTTGGTCGCAATCTCCAAATTTGGGTTGTTACATTTGATTCCCATTACCTCCGAGGTATAGGAGATATGGGGAAAAAAAATTATATACACCAGCACCAGGAGGTCCAAAAAAGAGCAGAGCAGGGAACTGGGTTACAAGGCACATAGCAATTACAAAAAGCACATTGCACGTACTGTTAAATCTTGGGTTACAGACGTATTCTGGAAGACAGCAAACTCATTTTAAAAAGCAAACACCTATTCTGAAAAAAGCATCACCTCCTCTATTTACAGGTTCACAGAAATATTTGTGTTAGGTTTTTTTTCTTCCCGCTCCAGAGTTGTTTTTTTTTTTTTTTCCCCTCAAGTTGGCTCGTTGGGCTGGAGCCAGAACTCACTCCTAAATTGAGACATAATTAGACATGTCCTACTGTGTCTTTCTGGGCAATTCATTTAACCTCTATGCCTTATTTCACTTCAGGTTTAAAAAGGAGGTGAGAGAATCTCTCTTGACTGCATAAAAAAAGAGCTATGCAAAGCCAAGCAATAAGAGCAAGAGTTACAACTAATACCTGGCCAGCAACAGATGCTTTAAAAATGACTTTTGCCCTTCCCTGGACGTCAGCTGTGCCATCCACGCACACACATCATTGCAAATCTGCACCGAAAGACTTTCAAACCTCTAACACACATCTTGGGCAACAGCTTTTTGCTGTAGGAAAAAAAGAGGACATCCACCTCTCCGTGCAGGACCGGTGCCTTAGGTCTCCTCGAGGGCTTCGTCCAGCTGGAGGCTCCAGCACCATGGGCTCACCAGGGGGATAACGCCACCGGAAAATAGCTCACATTTTTCCCAAGTTTCTCTCATCACAGGCGACCTACTAGGATTTTCACAACCTTGCAGCTCCACTCTTTCTTGCCTCTTTCACACCAAAAATCCTGCTGACGTATATGGGATTATTCATAAAACTAAGACATGCAAGATTTGGCTCTTAATGTTTATTTAATTTACTACTTCTCCCCAGTCTTCCAAAAGCTTTCTTTTTCAAGGTCATAAAATTAATAAACTGTATATTCAGTGCTTTGAACATGCAAAACAAGCACGTTTCTGCAGAGGGGGGAATTTATGGTGCAGGCAAGGGGTCCCATCATGACCTCGTGCTTCTCTTGAGCACCAGCCGGGCGTGCATGCGCCTGGTGCCAAACCTCAGTCTGATGCAATGGTTCATGCAGCCATTCCCTTTTTATGCTGATGGGATAGCAAGTTATTTATAAATCAGGAAATATTTTACGAACCCGCAAGTCTGGAGAATTAATTTACCGGTGTCTTGTTTTAAGCCTAAGCCATCATCTTTTCCACCTCTACAATTGTTATCTGTTGGGTACATAAACACCTTTTCTTGTAATGTGCATTACATCTACTCCAATATAGAGCAAATTATCTGCACCACCTTCAAACCATGCTTAATATACGACCAAGTCCTTTCATTAATTTGCCTCACCACCCTCTTAACCAGCTTATACCTTTGGCATTCACAAGAGACTTAAACAAAAGCCTAATAAACTCCGGGGATCGAAACTCCGAAGGCCCGTTCCCACATCACAGAACTCACTGGAAGTGCTCCAAACAGCCGTAAAATCCTATTTTAATACGATAAGTACAAGATAAAGCTGCTAAACTAGGTAAGGCTTGGGTGTCTGGGGAGAGGAAGAGGGCTGAAGGCAGAGACATGAAGTCGATTACGCAGCTGGTATAAAAAGGGTGCTGAGATTCGCACCTGTGCTTTCAGGTAAAAGATTAAAAAAAAAAAAATCCTAACAAAACCCTTGCAAATTGAAACATATTTTCTGAATATACCAGTTCGCTCTCAGGATTGGCTTTTCTTGAAATGAAAATCTTGATGCACCGCTTCTCAAAAATAGAACTACAATTATTATCCCCGGTGTCAGCAAAGCCACCAGCCAAACCCGCGAGAACGACGGAACGCATTTTCGCTGCCGAAAAGGAAGAAAAAGACTTTGTCTGGATTTACCGTTCGAGGGGCTGACAGTGATGGATAGGAAGGTTACAGCACCGGCATCTGTCTCCATTCCCCTGCCCGAGACGGCATCTCGGGCCGGGGCTGGGGGGAGCGGGTCGCCTGCCCCGCTGCTCAGGTTGGCGTCACCTGCTCTCGAATGTCTGAGTGCTCCTGGTTTTGTCTCGCCAAACAATTGGAATTTAAGGAATCGTGCTTTTAAACCTGATATTAAATGTCATCTGTTTTACTTAGCATCGGGGGCTTTTAGGGAAGAGATGCTGCTTAGTGACCCACACTACCGATGGGGCGGAAAACTGCAGGGTTACAAGTCTGCAGCCAAAAGAAAAAGAAGGAAACTATTATTCATGACAAATGCTTCCTATTATTCTCAGCAACATCGCCTGTCCCTCTGCAGACACCGACTGGGAACACAGCTGCTACCGGTGCAGCCCCGACGTGCTGATGGGACACAAATTTGACAGCAAGAATTTAGGGCTGAAGGTGTTTCTGAAAGAAAAATAAGGCATTGCTTGCATTACGACATATGATATAGCTGCAAATTTTGGATATGATTCGCTAAACAGGGATCCTTCTCCCAGGCTGCTCAGCTGAGTGCTGGAAATTACCAAAAGGACATGAAAAAATTAAAATATGCTCCCTACAAACAGCAAAAATGTTACTGGGTGATCTTTCTCAGAAATAAATTTAATCTCACTATTGATCATAGAATCATAGAATCGTTTAGGTTGGAAAAGACCTTGAAGATCATCCAGTCCAACCATTAACCTAACATTGCCAAGTCCACACTAAACCCATTAAGGGTGCAGCTGAACTAAAACATGATCAGCAAAACGTTTTATAAAGGGCAGAAGAGCATCTTTTGACGGTGCTAAGTGCCAGATGATGATGAAACCAACACAACTGATTTCGTTGAGTTATCAGAGCCAGGAAAAGCAAACTCACGGCTATTTAGGCTCCGCCACCACCCGCACTGAGGCCAGGACTATTTTGCTGTGGGGTTTAATGGGAGCCACATCGGGCCAAAGAGCATTTCAGAACACTCTGCAGTAAACAGGTTTATCGTGCTCTAAACAAGATACATCCCGATTCTCCACATCAACTGAGAAAGCCAAAAAGGTGGGTATTGGGGGAAAAAAACTTCCCCAAGATACTTTATGAAAGACTTCCTAAACTATTTATCAACACTATCAAGCTCTGCGTTTTCCATAGCCACGGTGGCTAATCCATCCCAATAATAATCCCAATAATAAATCCATCCCCGC